ACAAACAAATACTATATATATGTATGTACATACAAGGATCGAATAAAAATACAGTAACAAAAGATGCATGAATATAAGGGAAGCAGTACTGTATAATTAGCGTACTTGGAGTGTACACAAGAGAATTCACAGTACTGGAAATGTATATTCATAGGATCCGTTGCATCCAAAGAATTATCTGCAATCTGAATAAATAATAGTAAATTGAAACATGCATTCACGTTGATCGAAGAAGACACACCAAATTTAGAAACAATTAAACCCTACTGTGGAGTCTGCTTCTAATCACTGCAGTTTCCAATTATGTAGCCTGCCATTCCTGCCATTCAGCCAAAGAAATTAATAGAATGTAAATGAATGTCACTATTCTCAAAACAAAACAAAATTAATTAATTAATTAAAATAAAATAAAAAATCATGTATCTTCTCTTCTTCATTCCTGATTCAGAAAGCAATCAAAACGAGCAACTGTTTCATAGTCAACCGTGAACAGAAAGCTTCACATTTTGATGTGACTCAGTGAGAGAGATGACTCTTGAGATTGACAGGCTAGCTGGCTATGGCTAATAATATATCTACCTTTGTTTGGTCACTGTGGTAACCTTAACCTAACCTCATTTTACTTTTACGCTATGTTTTTTTTTAATTATTCAGAAATTCGCCGAACCTCGTTTATGTGAAACCAGAGTTTGAAAATGGATCTCCATAGCTGGAAACAGCAGGAAAAAAATGAATCTTTATTTAAGCTAATCTCATTTTATAGTTATACCCAGAAATGATCAAAACTCATTTTGTGAAGATGAGCTAGAAACTAGAGTTTACACCAAATCTTATAATCTTTAGAAAACGGAAAATAACAATGTTTATAGGAATTTTTTTTCTTGTTTCCTACAGGATGGATTCAATGAAGTTGGTCCATGGATACTCCCTCCTTTCGTCACATTTCGCTCAAAGATTTTGTGTATTATCGTACTTCTTAATTTTGTATGTATTTTGAATAATTTATTTTTCTTGTTTTATGTTTTAAAAGAATATTACATAAGATAAGCCTAGTGTAACCTTTTCTCACTAATCTTTTATTCTTCAATGCAATAATGAAGCATTATGTTTTGATTAATTAAACGTGCAATATGCAATAATCTGATTAGACATATGTTTTAGAAGCAAATCCCCATAATTATTATTATGTTTATTAAAACAAGCATTACATGTTAATGTTATGATGATTTGAGTTCGACAAAGACAACAAAATAAAAATTAATTTAAAGTTTGTGAATTGACAAGTTCAATATCTAAATCATTTTCTTCATTATCCTGCACGTGTTAAAGGAGTAAAACCCTGTTTAAATCATCCTTAATTAACATAATTTATCCTGCTAATTAATGTCATCGAGCCCACAAAAACAATATAATTTTACATTTTAAAATATAATATTCAATTCATAAAAATAAAATAAATTCATTGTATTATAAATTGACCATTTGACTTTGAAAATAAAGTAAATGTGAATGGTAGAAAATGGAGAAATAATGGGATTGGGATTAATTAAATAAAAAAGGCTAAGAAAGTTGAAGGTTTTAGGGCTTTAATGATGGTTTAAAAGGCTAATTAATAAAAGTAACATTCATAATCACTCATCATCTTCTTCTTCTTCTTCTTCTTCTTCTCCTAGATCAATAAAGCTGCATTCCTAAAGTATAGTCAAGAGTCAAGATTTAGTCACTCAATTTTCTAACTAATTATAATTAATATTTGCTCTAATCTAATATTATTTTTAATTACTGTTTGAAGCTACAAATAAATTGTTTTAATGTATAAGTACATTTTCTAAGTTCAATGTATATCTTGTTTAAAAGTTTCACATTATAAATATTTCTTTGATATACAAATTTACAATGTTGTACGATATCAGAAACCTAATTCTTTCAGAATATAAATTGAACTTTAAATCCTTGGCAGTCTGTTTTCTAGTAACGTACTTAAAACTCAGAAAATCTGAGAGGGAACAGTGGTGGTAGATTAGATCTCAAGATGTTTGGTGAGAGACCTGTTGGTGGGTAGAATATAGTGTTTAATTAAACTTTACTCTATTGTTATACTGTTAGGTACAAAACATGCATTATTCTTCTTGTATTGATTAAATTACAATTTCCAACTAAATAATTATTATAAACAGTCACCCTCTCTCTTGCAAAACTAAACCCTAATTTCTTTCACAAAATCACCTTTAAATGTTCTTCTCTTCTCTCTTTCCTTTCTGTTTAATCTTAATTTTGTGTGAAATCATTAATTGTCTCTCGATTAAACACAGATTTGAGTATAATTAATTATAATGGAAGAGTGTTTTTTTTTAATCTTAATTATACTCTTCAAAGCAATTAATCAAGAAGATGTTCCTCTAGGTTGCAATTGCAATAATAATATAGCTGCAAGCTAGACTAATAAAATTTGTCACTTTTGTAGTAATTAAGATGCATGGATAAAGTAATTTGCTTTACATATTTATCTAAAATTTAATACTTGGAAATTTAGAAATATTATTTATATCCACCATATTATTATTAACCATACGGTATGTTTTTATATCAAAATGATAATAGTACATTGATATCATAATGTTAATGTTATAAATTCCCCAAACTAGTAATATCATGCAAAACCTTATTATCCCGTTATTTTACACCGGTGAATGATGAAGTGAATATTTTTTAAATATATAAAAACATTAAAAAAAATAAAAACTAGAACACCATAAGGGTAATTCTACGTCAATCATACTACAAACGATAAATTTATAGAGTAATGTTACACCTATAATCAACAAGAGGTTGTGGATGTAACATTTTTTAAATTTATATAATTTCTACATTTTTTTTCCTCTCTATTTATCTTTATACAATTAATATGATTAATGATAAAAAAATTGAATACATACATTATATATGTATTATAATTCAAAAATTCTTATTGATGTGAATTTAAAATTAAAATATATTTGAACGGATAGTCTTTCGTATCATCGACTCAACCTAAAAAAGAGAGAGAAAGAAAGAGGTGGTTGTGCTTTGAAAAAGAGAGACTTTAACACACGTTTGCTAGTTGATTAACTTTAATTAGAGGATGAAGAATTTAATGAACCTTGATACAACTCAAGTGAGGAGTAGTGGTAGTGGTGCATTCGTAGCTCTAAAGGCCAAAATAAAGGGGTCAAATTAATATTAATATTATTTTTTTTTTTTTACTTTTTTTTTCTTTTCTTTTCTTCTTTCTCTTTTCACGTGCCCTAACATTCATGAATCAATTCAAGTATTGTTCCCCTCCAGCTATCTTCTACATAAAAAGCTCCACTCTTGAAGTGACCCTAGTTAAGGACACTTATCCTAATCCAAAGGACCCCCACTTCCCATTTTAACCCTTTTTATCCCCATTCTATGACCCTTTTACCCTTTTCTCATTTCTATTTAATACCTCTAATTAAGCTAATCCCACTCTCATTTCATACCCATATGTGCATTTAAAATTTTAATCATCCCATAATCCATATATTGTTTTGTCAAGATAACGTTGAAATATCATTAGATTTATTGTAATTAAATCAAAATTCAAGCTTCGATTATATTATTTTAAACTATGATTTAATTACTATTATTGTTTTTTAACTAATATTAATGGGGGCAAGGTACTATTTTTCCATTTAATTTATAATATATATATTGAAGTTAAAATTATGATAAAATAATGGGGATTCTTTGGTTTCAAATCTTGACATATCTTTAGCATATGAAAATTGAATGAAATTCAATCAACTCATTATTTAGACACATGTTTTTGCATCATATAAAACGACATTTTTGACAATCTTCTCCCAATTTGTCTGGCAAAATCTAACATACATTAACACTTGGACTCCATCTTCATTTGTTTTATTTTATTTTTATTTTTTTTATCTTCTAATCATTTTTTCAATTTTATTATATAGTTTATGTGCGTGTTCTATACTCTCCATTACCCACAAAAGAATTTGAGGTGGACCCTTCCCTTTCTCACTAATATTGTTTTTGGGGAAAAAGGTTTTTAGTGTATATCGATGAGGAATTTTTACACAAGTTTTTCTAACTCATTTCAATTATTTTGATACCCATCTTGGTTTTATTGCAAAAACAAAAAATGCTACTTAAAACATTCCTTGTTTGTAGCTCAAAGGAGCGAAAGATGGGGTTTTATTGCAAAAACAAAATGCTACTTAAAGCATTCCTTGTTTGTAACTCGAAGGAGCAAAAGATGGATTGAGGAGTTAAAAGACCAATAATGATCCTTGGTTCAAGTCATAACAAAGAAAAAAAATAAGATTTCGTGAGACCTATTCAATAAAATTTAAATATGTATTGTTAAATATATAACAATATATGTAATTATATATCATTGGAAAGTCCAAATCCGTAATCTAAGTGAAATGGTAAATTGATCAATACAAGTATTTTTTTTTATAATAATAAAGAACAGAGTGAGACGATAAAATTATCCCATAAAAGCATTTCGTATTATAATAAGTCTTTCTTATTGTGGTAGTTTTTTTCTATCATAAACTTGTCACCATATTTTAATCATGGATAGTTCTAAAAACTAATAATACATATGCAATGTGGAGGGACGAGAGTCTCTCGTACAAGTTTTTAATAAAAGCAAAATAAAAAGGAGGAGTTGAAGAGCACGCGCAGCAAAGGAGAGTAAGGGAATAAGAGGAAAATTGAAACAGGTAGGAAGGAGGAAGAAGAAGTTGGGCAAAGTGAATGAGAGGTGTCATGTGACTTTAGAGACCCATAAAATTACAAAAACAAAACAACAAAAAGTCTTTATACCCCCGCCCCCCTATTTTCTGTTCTCTCTTTCTCTTCTCTCTACTATTTACTTGATTTTGTGTTTTGATTATTGGAGAGAGAGAGAGAGAGAGAGAGATGGATACACACAATTGAGCTTCAACTTGAAGAAGGAAGAGAAGAAGAAACAAACCCACTTCAGTTTAATGCTTGCTTCCTTTGTATAGAGAAATTCAGACACAGAAACAAGAAGAAGAAGAAGAGATGGGTTCATCTTCATCATCATCTTGGTGGTTTCTTTTTGTTATTAATATTATGGTGAAAGAGATATAGAAAAGGATATATAAATATAGATATAAGAATATTGCAAGTCGTTATTGCATATTTTTCTCACTCACTCACTCAACTCTCACTCACTCTTTCTTTCTTTCTCTTTTCTCTCTGCTAAAAACTCAGTCATCTCTCCCTCTCAACCTCACCTTTTTTCATCACAAAAGCCAAAGCGACAGAAGTAGATTTCTGCAGCAAACACTGCAACATACCAGTAAATATTAACATCTCATCTCATAACAAATCTCTCTTTTCAGTTTTCAGTTTTTCTTTAGATCCCACCTTTCATATAAACCTACATACTCTCAGATACATCCTTAGATTTTACTTATCCTCATCATCATCTTCATAATCTTCTCACTCTATAAAAATTTAGTCTTTTTTATGTTTATATAAACCAGTTGGTGTGATATCCTTCAAGATTATCAGTTGTGGCTACTACACGGAGACAATTGACTTCTGATTCTGGCGCCTTTGCTGACTGGGCATCTTCTTCCTCCACAATACGTGCTGCTCCGGACGACCTTTCTCTCGGCTTCAATGCCGGTCCCACCGCACCCGTCCCCGGTGCGGCTCATACACCCACTGCCCCTGGGTCCTGGCCCTCCTCCTCCTCTTCTCGCCCCATCAACTATGGCCTTTCTCACGATATGGGCATGGTGGGTCTTCGGGACGTCTTTGTTGTAGCTCCTGCTTCGTCTTTCAATCACCATCACCATCATCACCACCATGACTCCCTTAATATCGCCTCCGATCCCATCAATAGTGCTAATGCTACCGCTCTCGGTGTCGGCGTTGGTGTCGGCGTTATCCCTCTCCTCACTGCAGGGCCATGTTTAGCTTCTCCTCAAAGTATGGAAGATCAAGATTTGTTGAATAATGGTCGTAATAAAGTTAGTCAAATTCAGTTTTGGCAGAATCAGAACTCTCATCCATACCTGAAGAAAGGTTCTTCCACGATTCTCGATCACAACACAACTTCCTCTATGAATTTGCTTCAAGGAAGCGAGAGTCCCGCTGGCGGTACTGGCGCCGGCGGTAATAGCAACATGGGTAGTGGTGCTGGTTCGGCTTCGAGTTCAGGAACTACGTGTCAAGACTGTGGAAACCAAGCGAAGAAAGATTGTACCCATAGAAGATGTAGGACATGTTGCAAGAGTCGTGGTTATGATTGCGCTACCCACGTAAAGAGCACATGGGTTCCGGCTGCACGGCGGAGGGAGCGGCAACTCATGGTTACTGCCGGTACCATGGGCGGTGCTGGCTCTTCTGGGTCGACGTCTGGTATCAAGAAACCTAGGCTCATAAACTCTCAGACTACAACAAACTCTCATACTTCAACTTCTACTGCCACTCCACCAAGAAGCTTTGACACAAGTTCTAGTCATCAAGGTTTGTTTTTTCAATCTCATTTTGTTGAAAGATTGCATCTTTACGTTTAGTTTTTATGTGGAGTTGGAAAATTAATGTTTAGGGTTGTTTGTTGAGGGAGAGAATTGAGTAGGGTTTGTTGAATTTTGCTTGCAGATGCGAGTTTTAAAGAGACATTACCGGGGCAAGTACGTGCACCGGCAGTGTTCAAGTGTGTTAGAGTGACGGCGGTGGAGGATGGTGAAGATGAGTATGCATATCAGGCTGTGGTAAAGATTGGTGGTCATGTTTTCAAAGGGTTTTTGTATGATCAAGGAGTTGATAATACAAGAGAAGGGTTTCCCAACATATCTGAATTGCATTTAGGAGGTGCTGGAAGTAGTGGTGGTGTTGGTGGAGGTGGCGGTGGTGGTGGGGGAAGAAATGGGGGCTGTTCATCTCCTCCAATTCTTGATCCATCTGAAGTTTATGCAGGCGGCGGCGGCTTACTCGGTGGTTCAGGCTATGGTAATCCAATGAATTGAAATTCTAAGGTGGATGGATGGGATTTGAAAGGAAAACTTTATTTTTTCAATCCCTCTTTCTGCCAACTAATTATTGATAGGGTTTTGGTAAGTTAATGTCCTTGTAGACTTCTACCTTATTAACTTATGTCTCTCTTTAAATTTATTTTTCGGCTACTTGGTTTTAATTTTCTTGTCCCTCGTGTCTATTTGCCTTTGGTGGCATTGAACTGAGATGAGAGGGATCGGCATTTGCCAAGGAAGCTCCATTTTCCCACCATTAGAAAAATGTGTTTTGTACCAAAATTACAAAAATATAGAGAATAAAGGTGAAAAAATCCTGTGCTAGTAGATATACCGATCAGCTCTTGACATTTTGTGATGATAAATTCTGTTTGCTTTCTTGAAGTTGTTGCCTTTTTCTTTTATTCTTATTCTTTTTCTTCATCAGAGTTTTGTTTGACAAAGGTGAAATCTACAGTGTAAAGTATATAAATTCATCATTAGGAGAGACACTGTGCTGGTATAGACCTTTCCCTTATATATATGTATTCTAATTTTGTCTTGCTTGTATTTACTGTTTCACTTGCTTATTTCTTCTAAACATTTCCCATTACATAAAATTAATCGTGTTTGAGCCCTAAAATATTATTATTTCATCAGTTGTGTTCACTGTCCTTTTGGTTTAGTTTGGTTCATCATGAACTAGAAGTAAATGTGGCATTCATCATTATTGTGCTGCTTTAGACTTTGGCATGGGAAGTAGTTGTTCTGTCACTATCATTTATTGCCAAACAAGGAATAGCATTTCATAGATCCCTTTTTTAGACCCACTTAACTTCTTATTACATTTCTGAAATGTGTACCAGCTTGAAATTGCATGCATTCATGAACACTAGATGTACTCTTGGCTTCTTCACTTATCCCAGTTTGGGAATTGTTTCCCTCAAACATTACTCTTCATCCTCCTAAGCCTCCATGTATCTATTTTACATTTCAATTATGAACCCATTGCCCCACATATTCTGATCATCAACACACTGCTGCTTCTGTACCTGCACTGCGGTTTTAGAATACAACTCCTTTGGCATTCTAGATGGGGAATAATTCAATGTACAGGATATGTGTGGACATTATTATATAATTAATATGCAGGTTTTTGTCACTGTTATCAATCTGGCTGGTTTATGTCATTTTTGCTTTCTAGGAATTGGGATAATTGGCTGTCAGTGAATTTTAATTTGGCTTCTAACGATATTCTTTATTCCTTGAGATGCTGCAGATGTGTATGTCACTTATCCTTTTGGTTATGATATAGTGTACAAAGGTTGACTATTGTGGATTAAAAAATTTGATGTATTTTGTAAATGCTTGCTTGGCCTTTTTCCTTTCGGCCAGCTGACATGCTGCCCCCCTTTAGATGTCTTGTTATATTTTATAAATGAACTGATTTTTTCATGTGGATTGCATTATCATTCATTGCTCTAAATTGTTTATAAAAACTTGGTTAGATTTGACATGTTGCTAGATACTTCTTTTAAATATGATTGTTGCATTGTATATGCCATGTTGCTAGATACTTCTTTTAAATATGATTGTTGCATTGTATATGCCTTACTTTAATTATTAAGCACCTCCTGTCTATCATTGCTTACATTGCCTGCATTCATACTTATCTACTTTCAGTTTGATTGCACATGTAGGTTAACGCATTCGTCCCCTTTGGCTTGGTTTGTAATCTATGTTCCATAAATTGTTCTTGTCCACTAATACGACTAGTGCCTTTATTTATTTATTTAAAATTGAATTAAAAAGAAACATAGTCGCTCCTTCATTTACTCGTAAGATTTCATGTGAAGAAAGAGTGGGAACGGGGCAAGTTTGATCATTCATTTAGAAGTTAATATTTTCGGTCTATATGTTTACTTAAAGTTATGCGTATATCCCATCGATATTTTAATTATTCATCTCCATCTCCAATTTCAGATGCTTGAATAGGGATTTTGTCTAGTGTTCTTTTGTCATTAATGACTGATGTTTTGAAAAGAGGACTAGATTTTGTAGGATCAATTGAACAAGTAAAGCTTAGAAGCCCCTTTGTGCTCTTTGTCATTGATGGAGATACTAGGTGTTGCCAACTTTGCTAATCTTAGAAGCCCCTTTGTGCTCTTTGTCATTGATGGAGATACTAGGTGTTGCCAACTTTGCTAATCTTAGAAGCTAGCAATGCATGTGTTCTTAAAAATTTCAAGTGTTTGTGCTCCATTGATGTGTAACTTTTATCTTTTCTTTTAGAATTCTTGGATTGTACTTAGCTGGGAATTGTGTGTTTTTTCAATTTCTTGACTTTATAATGGACGGATGCAAGTTAACTTTTCAGTGTTTGTTAAGAGTGCTAAATTGTTGTATGCAATTCTGGTGTAGTTAAATTTTCATTTTCCTTCTCCCCAGTTTCTTGATGGGGTTCTCTTCTTGGTAATCTTCCATTGATCAGTTTGATTTCTGTTCATCATTTTGCTTGTTTCTAAGAAAGATATTTCTATTTGTTAATGTATTCATTTTGTGTTATTTTCATTACATCAACCAGGAAATTCCGATTATACTGCTTTTTATCATTTAATACTACTTCATTTGCAGCCTAGGGGAAAGTCTTTCCATATAAACATATTGCAATATAATCTGCCAATGAGAGTGGAATACATTTGCTATCATTGGGTGGTTGTGTAGGCATCATGGTGTAGAGAAGATTTTCTCGTGGCTAAGATGCTGAATATGATTTCTAACTCTCTATTTCTATGGCGAGGCTTCCTCAAGCTCTAAACCTCTATCAACAGTTAAAATGTGCCAAACTTTCTAGTCTTACACTGATGATCAGCTTGATATGTTGTGTCTAATTGTGATTTTCGACAAAATAATAGCATTAAATTTTTCTTCGATCTTATTTATGCGGCTATGTTTCACAGGAAATTTGTGTTACAGATTGGCTAAATTACTGATTAACGTATTGAAAAACAATAATATTATGCGTACTAACGAATATTATTAATTAGTGTACTAATTTAAAGTATAGTACGGATATCATATATAATTTTAATAGAGGTTAGTAAGATGGTTATTGAGAAGTGTGAATGAGTGTAGTGTTATTCGTTGAAAAATGTAGCTTTACTAAGAGTACCTGACAGTTAACAGTTATTTCTATCCTCATGTTATGCATAAAAAAAGTGGAGAAAATAAATCAATCTCTGTTGCTCTCCTTGGCAGTATCCATGAATTTGACAGTCCTGTACTGTCATTCTCTTGGCATTATCAGTTATCTGCTCCTGCTAGCTATGGTTTGTTTTTTCATGACAGTGCAGGCTCAACTCTCGCATTCTTAAATCACTCTGAAACAAGAACTCCCTCATTCCCAATGTGACAGTTTCCATGCACAATTAGTTTATTTCTGTATCTTGCCTTGCAAATTCTTCCATTATTAGGGTTTCATGATAGGAATCTTTCAATTTTAATTCACAACAAACACTTAAGTCCACTTCCTTCATATGTACATGAAGTTTAATAACGCAAGTATATGTAGGTTTTTAATGTTCAGATTAAAAGTCAATGATACACTATTTAAAAGGGTAAAGGCCTAAAGGGTCTTCACTAAGTCGAAAAATTTAAAATATAAGTTCCTTTGATCATTGTCATCAAGGGCAAGAACCCTATATTGGATGCTATGAAAGTTACAATTTACAAACAACTGAAGCTCTTGAAGACTAAGAGTATTCCCAATTCCAAATCTACAATATTGTTTGTTTTCTGTCTACTATGCACAATTTTAAACAAAGAATCAATTGAGGAAAAAACAAAAACCTCAAATTACTTAAGTAGATACAAGGGTATTCCAGATTTTTGACATTTTTATCCGGCCAATATTTGTATTTATTTTTGTTGTTGTTGACCATATGTAATTTAGGGGTGTTCAAAATAACCGATTGGAACCGGAATCAATGGGTATCCGAGGTTTGGTTCCGGTTCCTACTCGGAACCGGCTATCAACATGTAGGCTTTGATTCCAAATTTTTGGAACCGTCATTGTGCGATTCCAGTTTTGATTCTTATAGTTAGGAACCGGAATCAGAAACCAAGACTAATATAAAATAAAATTAAAGAGTAGGGGGGCTAATAAAAACTTTTGTAGAAAAGTAACGTGAATACATTTATATTTATATTTTATAACATTTAAAGTAAGTTGATTTGACTTTTGAGAATTTATCTTTACAAAGTAATAGAGTTTGTAATTTATAATTTTATTCTTGTTAACGAGCGTCAGGTGAAGGGGCATTAGTAAGTTTTTAAGGTTTTTTTTTTTTTTTTTTTTTTTTTTAATTTGGGGGGTAATTATAATTTTATAGGGTACCCGAAATTGGAATCTGAACCGTTGTTACATGTTCTGATTCTGGGTACCCAAGTTTCGGTTCCAAATTTCAAGGAACCGTCGGTTTCGGTTCCTTAAAAAAAAATACAGGATACCCATAATCGGACACCCCGTAATATGTCTAGAACTAAGAGTAATATTACATTTACAACTCAATCTCTAAACTCTCTCTTACAATTTATAGGTGCAGCTTCCAGTTTTTTGCCTGGAAATGCCAAGTAAGGGTTGTGAAAAAGAGTTTTGAGCAAATCTCAAACGTAGAACTAGTTACATAATTAGGCATAACATGAAAGTCTTTCTGAAACCACTCAGCATGGTCATGCCAATGATTTGCTCTTACAAGGTTTAATGTTTGAGCCCCCTCGTAGAGGGCATCTGTATGACTAAAGACTTTTCTTTTCTCTCATATGAGATCAGTCAAATAATCAAACTAAAGACTTTTCTTTTCTCTCATATGAGGTCAGTTAAGTAATCATGCTTGTGATTTGTTCCTACAAGTTTTCTAGTTAATGCCGGTGATTTGCTCTTACAAGGTTTGGAGTTTAAGACTTTAAGTCCCCTCTTAGAACACCATCAAAAGCTAAAAAATGGTAAGATTAAGAGGTTTGGTAAGAAAATATCTTCCAGGTCTCATAAAATATCTCACAAGAAAGAACACTAGACATATAATTAATTAGGAGTGTTTTCTGATTATTAGACGATGTGGGATATATATATATATATATATATATAGATACAAATTAGATATATATATTATATTTATATCCCATCTTACCGTATTCATTCATCAAATTTCAAGTCTTTCTGTGCCTCCACAGGAGTCTAGTGATTCTCAACAACAACTTTTAATGGCAAACTTGAAAAGCAGAACATAACTAGGGGATACAAATAAGGAATTGAGAATACTATTTTTGTTTCCTGATTTCCATAAATAAAAAACTGGTTTTGAATTAAGAACAAGAAACCAAAACACACTTGTAGACAACAAAAGACAGATTCTTTATGTGTTTCCAACTTTGTATGAAAAAGCAAAAGTCCCCCACCACCACCACCCATTTTTACTTGGACTTAAATCTATCTCTCACCGCCCACTCCAATTCTTTTGATTCATCTTTTTCAAACTTCATTTTTGCCTTGTTTGTGGGTTTCATTTCCCTATTTAATCTTTGATGCCTTATGGTGTCTTGTAAAGTTCTCTACTTTTTCTAAACATTACCAATGCCCTAACTTTTAATTAATTAATCTCTTCTTATCATTATTATTACTCTTAAAAGAATCTAACCAAAAGATGATTGATAAAGATTTGACTATAATACTGCTAAGTAGGTTTATATCGGACCTCCTCGGAGGTTTCAAAAATATATGGGCAAGACTTTTTAGGTATGAGAAAATTTTGGCAAAATCATCATAAACTCCCTTCGACTATGAAATCTATATGGTCAAAAGTCACATGGCCAGGGGAAATAAAATAGTGGAGAATTGACTTAAACAATTTCTTAATTGGAGGAAGCTCATGAAAGAGGAGATCTCACTAAAATGTGGCAAACATGTAACAACTATTAGGCAATTTGAATAATTGGATTACCTAAAACGGTTTTTGAATATTATTTTATTTGGTTTATTTTCTAGATTTATGTTTGTTAACCACTACAAGATGAATTATTAGGTGACGTTATTACCGTTCTTATAAGTTTAAAGTTAACCCATTAAATTTAAATCTATGGAGGAAGAATTAAGAGGAAGCAATTGTAGTGGCAGCCAAAAAAGCAACCCTTAAATCTCCCTAAAGTATGGAAAAAGAAACCATTGGTGTCAACTAGCTTAGGGCAGAAGCCCTCTTTCAAGGGACAGTGGATGCATTGTTTAAAAACCGGATCGGAGGGCAAACCGTTTTGCTGTCTGGGTCACGGTTTAATCGGTCCAACCGGTTGGACCGGCCGGTTGGACCGATGACATCAACAATATTTATTTTTAAAAAATTCATATTAACCTCTTAAATTTCAATATATTACAAAAATTCCCTAAAATTTAAATTGGTCACTAAAATTTTATTTATTACAAAATGCCCCAATAAAATTACCAATTAATTCTTAAATTTTGATATATCTTCAAAATACCCCTATAAAATTACAAAGTAACCCTCATAATTTTAAATATTTCAAAAACCCCCCTGAGACCTAAATCCGGGAGAAGCTATCGGTTCCCGGTCCAACACGGTCCGAACGGCCAGTCCGGTCCGGTTTTTTAAAAGAGAGTGGATGTTAGGATTCTAGTTTCCTATTATATGCTGCAAATTAGGATTAGATGAGATTATGATTAAGCTAGGTTCACATTAGGATTAGGTCTAGGGTTTTTCTATGAGTTAGGTTTTTACATTGTACTCCATTGTTAGTATTCCATTAGGTTTAATGTTTAATTTATGAAATAAGCTAAATTTATATTGAGTCAAATGACAACAACTCAAAAGTGAGTAGTAATATAAGAAATAAATTTAGGAAAATGATTATCCGGTAATACCTTTTTTTTTTTGAAACAGGGTGTCGGAACACATCCGACGAATCATTTTAAATGATTAGCACATCATTTCACTGCCATGATTATTCAATAATACATTAGAAAGAAAAATGTGATTGATAACTTAATTCCTGTTACATGGTGTTGAAATTCTTGAAACTATTTGTTACGTGCCATGACCATTTCTTTTTTTTTCCTATCCCTGACCATTCTTAAGAATTATTTTGCTATAAAGCCATCCGCAATGGCAACAAAAATCTCACTTCTTGTGCATATGATTTATGGCTAGTTGCTATATAAATCAAGATTATGTTAAACTACAATCTATGTTAAGAAAAAATATTCATAAGAAAGTCTTAAATGAGATGAACGTATCACATTATTTATACCTTGTCTCAAATTGATTGCAAAACATAGCTTTTTTAGAACATATAATCTGATTGTGCAAAGCAATCAATCGTCAACTCTTTTGGTTTGAAATTCTTTTCAGCTTTTATCTTATCAATGCTTTAGTACGGCAAAGGGTAGTGTTGCAAAACCGATTATTCCCAGAAATGAAATACAGTAATTTGTGACTATTCCTGAAACAAATGAGAAGCCTTCATGTTTGGCCAAATCTTATAAAGAAACTTATCTCCACAAAGAAAAGCACTTTCCAAAATGACTTTTGCAGCTCTCAACACCGATCTCCCAAACATGGCCTTACAAGGATTGGGAGGATGAAGAAGAGTTATTCGAGGACAAAATAATGTAGTCATTCATATATTCCCTGAGAAAGTTATTCCAACTTTTGTACGGACAGAAAATCTAAGTGGAAAACAAAAGAACAAAAAAACAACTGTTGCTCGTTGAATAATGAATATATCGTTCCGACAGAAGAGAATTGAGGAGTTTATTATTGGTTTGAGACAGAAAATGGAATTCCTATTGCAAACTTTATGTATAAAAGCAATTTATGAATGCAAAAGATGCAGCAACAACAGTGAGTTAAAAAAGTCATTATTCCAAGATAAGCTTGATGCTGTACCATTCCTCTTTTCAATCACTAAAACAAAGCCATAACAAAGCCACGGATAATGGGAAAGAGAGACAATAATGAATCTGGAAAGGGGGTGAGGATCTTTTACCTTTATTCCTCCATTAGGTTTACTTGGTTTTGAGCCAAGAATAGTTTTGAAATCTTTTGTGCGGAAGAGGAGAAAAAAAAAAAATCTTAGAAACAATTATATCTTAAAGCACTAAAAAGCAACCACTCAACTCACACTTTCTTGCTATTAACAAGGCACTATCTCAGAGAATTTTGTATAGAAAATTTGATTTATATTATTCCAAAGCATCACAGTAACAAAGCGAAATAAGGGGGAACCCACTAGAGCTTCACAAAAATTTCACATTATGGAGCAAAAAAAGGAGAAAACGAAAGAATTGACCAATTAGAAACAGTTAGGAAACTGTGACACCACCTAGTTCAACTTGTGCTGCTGTAGCATTGATGGCATCGATGACATCCATCTTTCCCCTACTCACAGCTTCATCGATTGGGGTCCGCTCATGGCTGAACAACAACAGGTGGAAAATTGATTGTATACACGAATTAAACATTGGTGATGATATTAAAGAAAAGTAAAATACCAAACTCCGGATTGAATTTTAGGAATAATACCTGTTTAACATGCTTACATTTGCTCCTGCCAGAATCAATTTTTTAACCACCTGAAACACCAATCATCTATTAAAGGACTTTAAAAATGAAAAATAGAAATTTGTGTACATGGGGATCATGGTGATTACCTCAATATGTCCATTGAGGCAAGCCCAATGAAGAGGCGTGTTCTTCTCCTCATTAGAAGCATTAACATCCTGCTCAAATAGAAGATGCAAAAACTTAAAAAGCTTTCCCATACATGTAATTTAACTATTATAGCTTACCAGGACCATAAAAACCATAACACAATGATGTATATAAAAAGTAGAGGTGTATTTTTATGGTTTAATCCTTCGCAGACATAAAAAAGTAGTGGTAAACACAATCCAAGACCAAAGAACATACAAAAACTGAATAGAATCACCACAAATAAGCTAGTTAAGGCTGCAATAAGGCTCTACAGGACAGAACACGAAAGGCAAACAAATCATACAAGGGAATTTCTATAATTGCCGTAATGCAACCATACTGCAAGATGCAAACACTTCACATTTTATAAGACATTTAAAATCTGAAAAGTTACCATCTAGCAGACAATTTAGCTCCCCATGACACAATTTACACAACCAATCAGTTCATGAAGATAAATCAGCAGCAATCGATAATGCACAAATGCAAGAAAGACTTGGCACACTCCACTTTCACACAAATCAATCAGATCAGGCCTTAATCAATGTTCTGCACATACATTCTAAATTAAACTATTATGTGATAAATGCTCTTATATTAAAATGATCAATCTTTGCTTTCTGTCAGATCAAATTCGATCTGGACAACCAACTAATAACAAACATTCCTCTTGAATAACATCATCAATTGAGGTTTTCATTCCAAACAAGTGTTTTGCATGCAGGAACAATTAATCAGTAGATCAACTTTGAAGTCACTGGTATCTTATCCTTACTTTGGTCAGATCAGACTAGGTTTTATGTGTTGGTTTAAAAAGAAATCATGGGCAGTTCAGACATAAGAATGGATGACACAGACCACCGCCAATTAAGCTTTGCATAGATACACAAATTTTGTGATTTGCTATGGGCGAACAGACAAACACATACATAATCATTATTTTAACAATACAACACAACATCCAAAGATTAGTGTAGTGTAAAATTAGTAACATACAGAGAGAACAGATTCATCATGCCAAAAAAGGAACCCCAAAATATACCAACAACCAATTATCTACTAATTGAAGAGTGATCTCAAACAATCATATGAAAATATTTGTGAAGATTTCTTCCTCACCACTCCTCTGCCAATGAGATATTCCACAATGCCGAGATGTCCATTAGCTGCAGCCATGTGAAGTGCTGCACACGAACACAAGCAGAATTAATTAAACGTAGATGGAACCAGAAGAAACATCAACAAAATAGCAGTTTCATTTTCAGAAACCATGAGCTCTAGTGATTTTTTTTTCCTTTAATTTATCAATAAGTTAGAATCCTTTAGAGAAATTTCAATATTTGAATCTAATCTAGAGTGGGTAATCTAAATTTGGTTATATTAGATATGGAAAGAAGAAAACAGTGAAGCTTAGACAGAAGATACCTATAAGCTTTTCATTTATGATCACCTTTCTATCTATTATCCAACAGGGGGAAAATGAAGATAGATTCAACCGCCAGTGGATAAATTACACCTTAATGATCATTACAACAAAACTTAACAGGCAAGGTGATGCTTTATCATTCTTAGAGAATAAAAGTTAGTAATGGGCTCCAATCTAGCAACTTAACCTTTGAGTTTAGCAGTAAATTAACAATAGAATTAAAAATTAATAAAGCAGAAAACAATCTGCGCATTAATGCTAAAGTATGTTGGTAAATCTTACAAATTAAAAGTATACACTATTTTCCCTATTCATTAAAAAAAAAAAAAAAAAGCGCTACTCTTCAGGTTAGATTTTGCCCCTCTAGTAGGAAACCTATTGAGAATCAAGTTTATGAGTCCTAAAACACTTGTAAGCATGAGTGGAAAAGAAATTCCAAGTTCTAACACACTTGCTAGTTTGGTTGAAATAAAGAAATCCATTCCAAGTCCTAAAACACTTGGTTTATGGAATGTAGAAAACAATGAAGACTATTCTGCGGTCCAAGCAAGTTCTTAGGAGAAGATTAGTCCAATCAAATCGGCCCAAGTTATTCCAAGTTCAAGCACATCAAGAGAAGTCCAAGTCTACCAAGAACGAAGCCCAATTGCCCCAAACACCCAATTTGCATTTATAAAGGAAGAATTCACATGACTTCTTATTGGGTTCATTTCCATGATCCACAAGGCCCAACTTGATGCACCCTTATTAGTAGAATTAATTAGGACTATTGATTGACTTTTGATCCAAAATGAGCAAGCTTATACACCCAATAGAGTGGTTATGACAAAGCTCTTAGATTTAAGGGTTTATGTCCATTTTACATTAAATAGGCATAGACTTTGTTTTTCATTGAATGACTTGTAATTTTTGTTGACTTTATCTGTAATTTCTTTGTATTTGTGATTTACTTTTCTATTCTTATAATTGCCTATATAAAATAAAGACAACTATTCCTCATTGTAATATTAGTCAAGATACATGAAATATTTGGTTTATCCATTTTCAAAGAACTAGTGTATTCTTGTTTGAGAATTCTTCATCCAAGTCTTGACAAGGGGATTTGGTGATGAATTAAATTCAAGTTGGTGGAGTGATCCTTTATGCTTGAAGGTTACTACTTGTCTTGGTCCGAAAATTTGCAATTAAGTGTTTTGTGCTAGATTATGCTTGACCGAATTTGACTTGAATTTGTGGTGTATTGTTGTTGGATTTTGATCATTTGGTATCAGAGTTTCGGTTGTGGAGTTGAGTAAATTTGAACTAGGATTGAATGTGTGAAGCATAGTTTTAAAAACCGAACCGTTTGTTGACCCAGTCAAAGGGCCTATTCACGGGTTGACCGGTCTAACCGATTGGACCGGTCGGTCTGACCGGTATGTAATAGTCCCATCTTTAAATAATTCCATTAATTGTTATAAGTTTAAAAACTAGTAAATACATCCCTAAAAGTTACATATAAACCCCTATGAGTTTAAAATAAAGTAAATACACCCTCAAGTTTTATTATTAATTATTTTTTCTCTCTCCCCATCACTTCTATCTTTCACTTTTCTCTCTCTCCCCATCACTCTCCATCAATTTCTTTCTTTTTCCTTTTTTCTTTCTCTCTCCCCCATCACTCCCCGTCACTTTCTTCTTCCTCTTTCTTCTTCGTCTCTTTCTTCCTCTACTGTAATTTTTCTTCACTTTCTTCTTCCTTCTCTTTCTCTTCATCTCCTCTTTTCTTTTTTCTAATCTTCTTCCTTACTCTGTCTCGTGTCTCCTCTTCTCTTTCTTCTTCCTCCCCTTCCCTTCCCTTCCCCTTTCCTTACTTTTTCTTTACAGTTGAAGATGAAAATGCAAGATAATGAAATGGTGCTAAAATTAGTTTAGGAATAAGAATTTTTTTGAATTAGACAAACCGTTTTAAGCCTCGGGCCGGTCGGTTCGACGGTTTTATACTGTTCCGTTGGTCCATTACTGGTCCAAAACGGGTTTATTAACATTCCCGGTTTTATGTAAACCCGGACCGAAGTAAAAGACAGCTCCCGGTCGAACCGGTCAGACCGGACGGTCCGGGTTTTAAAACAGAGGTGTGAAGTTTGTGTGTTGGAGTTGCCGGATTTTGGAAGTGTTGGTACTTGAGTTTATTTTCTTCTCCTTGCATTTCATTGAACCCATTTTCTCTTTTCACAAACCACTATTACCAACTCCCTTACATATTGTCCCTAACTAACCAACTATCTTGCCACCTCATTCAATTCTAACCATTCCCCTCCAATTCCAACTTAACCCATTCCATTCCAACCAAATCAACATTAAGCCTTAACCAACACTAAACACACTTAATTAGACTAATTACCATTAATTAGTCTAATCTCCACTATTCATTAACACTGTTCACAGATTATTATTCATCTAAACCAAATTCACCTAAAACTTAAACATTTAACCTTTCCTTCCCACATTTTGCTATTCACCTAAACCAAATTCACCTAAAACTTAAACACTTAACCTTTCCTTCCAACATTTTACTATTCCCATATTCAAAAAAAGTTACTGTTCACCCAAAGTTACTGTTTATAGAACCGAAAATCACCTATTTCTTAGGGCAAACAAAACCCCAACCCCCTCGGCTTCACCCCCACTACCATGGGAATTTTCCAACATGAAGTTACAAGGAAAAATTGATGATATTAAGTAATAAATAAATACAATGATGATCATGATGGTTAACATGTCTAAGGACATAGCCCAGTTAACCCAATCCCAACCCATCCATGAAGGAACCCCACACCAACCCCATCAAGAAAGATGACCCCACTACCATCAAAGAATCACCATTCAAACACCACCACAAGTGGAAGAAATAGGAGATAGTAGTGCTACCTCTAGTGAATCCGAGGCTTCTAGGAGGAAGAGAAGAAATTTTGATGATGATTGGGGCATTAAGATCAACTTGCCCGAATTCAATGAAAGTCTTGATCTAAATGACTTCATTGATTGGCTACATGAAATTGAGCGGGTATTTGAGTTCAAAAACTACAATGATGAGAAGAGATGTAAGGTGGCCATATTAAAGTTCAAGGAGCACGCTTCTTTGTGGTGGAAGAATACAAAGAAGAAGAGAGCAAAGGAAGGGAAGTCTAAGATTATGACAAGAACAAGGCAAATGAAACACAAAAGGAGAAATCAAAGTTTGTGAAGAATGATGCTCCACGATCAGATTTGAAAAACAAGAAATGCTTAAGTGCCAAGATTATGGACACTTTTAAGCAAACTGTTTAAACCGAAGGGTTATGACACTTAGAGAGATTAATGAGATTGATGATGTATGTCAAAAGGAGTTTAGTGAAAAAGTGAAAGAGAGTGAGAATGAGGTTATTGAGGAAGTCAATAATGGAGAGATGCTTGTGCTCAAGAGATTGTTGCATACTCAAGTAAACCCCCAAGAGAACCAAAGGGAGAACTTGTTTTGCACAAGGTGCACTATCAAAGGGAAAGTTTGCTCAATGATAATCAATAGTGGGAGTTACACTAATGTTGCTTCCACCACACTTGTAGAGAAATTGGGGCTACCGACGATTAACCGTACTCATCCTTACAAGTTAAGCAATGGTGACGCCATTCAAGTGGTCAAGCAAGTTGTTGTGCCATTCTCCATTGGTAAGAGATACACGGATGAAGTTACTTGTGATATCATTCCCATGGATACTTGCAATCTTCTAATTGGAAAACCATGACAATATGATCAAGAGGTGATCTATGATGGCCGTAAGAACACTTACTCCTTCAAGTTCAACAAGAAGACCATTACACTTGCACCCTTAGCCCCCACCCAAACCATTGTCCAAGCACCGGCATAAACCACCTCTCAAACACTTCCCTAAGCACCCTCCAAAGAACTAACACACAAAACCCTCCTCTTAAACAACACCCAACTAGAAAAAACCTTCCTAAAACACAAACCTCTCCTTGCACTCCTCATAGTTAAGAAGAACCAAGAGATGAAGTACCTTGATTTCCACCCGAGAGTTCAACCTCTTTTTTTTGAATGTAGGGATAATTTGGGAGGGAAATGTTAAGTGTTGAAGTTTTAGGTGAATAGTAATCCGTGAACAATGTTTATGATTAGTGGATATTAGACTAATTAATGGTGATTAGTCTAACTAAGTGCGTTTAATATTTGGTTAATGCTTAATGTTGATTTGGTTAGAATAGGATGGGTTTAGTTGGAATTGAATGAGGTGGCAAGGTAGTTGGTTAGTTGGGGATAGTGTGTAAGAGAGTTGGTAATAGTGGCTTGTGGAAAGAGAAAATGGGTTCAATGAAATGCAAGGAGAATAAATTAAACTCAAGCACAAACACTTCCAAAATTTGGCAACTCCAACACAAATTCCAGCCAAACTTCACACATTCAATCCTAATTCAACTCTACTACACCCCACAACTTAAGCTCTGATATCAAATGATCCAAATCCAACAACAACAATAAACCACAAAATCAAGTCAAATTTGGCCAAGCATAAATTAGCACAAAACACTTACAAATTTTCGGACCAAGACAAGTAGTAACCTTCAAGCATAAAGGATCACTCCACCAACTAAAATTTAATTCACTACCAAATCTCCTTGCCAAGATTTAAATAAAGAATTCTTAAACAAGAACACACAAGTTCTTTGAAAATGGATGAACTTTCATATATCTTGACTAATATTACAAAGAGGAATAATTGT